CTTATCTAAATAATTTAAACACAAGCTCTTAGTCTATGTTACCGCCTGTGCCATCTAGTGGCGACATAAAAAGTCGGGACCGCGACTTGACGTTGCCGCTGTTTATGCGGTTGCGTTGCGAGCGAAGCGCGGACAGCCGCGCCCAAACCACCCCGCCGCGCCGGCCGGTTTATTTTATCCTTTTTTTTGATAAATAATGCTGCCCTGAATCTTAAATACATTTCTCTATTTGTTAGGAAAACCATTGTTGAACTTTATTTACTAATGCTCACTGAATTAGTTATACAGAGATATGTGTGTTATTATTTATATTGAATTGGTGATAGTACGATAGTAAAAAAGGTTACTGATAAGTAAGCTACCGTTTACTCGTGCTCATCACCGCCCCGCGCCGCCTGTTGCTGGCCCGTCGCTGTTTCTTTCATCGTTTAGATAAAATCGGCCTCACAAACTCTGTACCCGGACAATACAATAATATAAATTAAAATTTATCTAAAAGTGACAACCCTAAGACAGTAGGCAATTGTATCGCGGATTGGGCCGGAGATAACCTACTTCCCTTCTCTTTATACTATGGTGTAAGTGCGCCGATAAAAAAGTATCTAAATAACGTCTTGAAAATAATAATGCATAAATCTTGACAAAATATTTTGTGACTTTGACCTTCAATATCTCCATAACCATAAATTGTGCCGTTGTAAACCAGGGATTGTGCAGAAGAAAAAAATTATCGTCATGATGTGGAAAATACGTAGCGACCCTGATGGCCATGTAGTCGCATTATAGGTAACCCACAATGTCAAATGAACACCTTTACAAGTATTAAACATTTGAAAGAAGAAATCGCAATTATAGTTTTTTTATAAGTTTTTAACTGTGGGACTCGAACCCGCACCCTTCGCTATCTGGGTGAATGCACTGACCATTATGCTACCATGGCCCTGATAGCCGTGCCCGTCTGCTGCCTGATCCACGTGGATTTTTTTATAGCAAAATTTTCTTTAGATTTAGACAAATAACAGTTAAATGCCTAAAAAATGTAACTATAATTGCTATTTCTAATTGCGATATCGTAGTAAGTCTCCAGGTCTCCGAATCAGAATTCCTGATTAGGAAACGGCATTAGGAAACCGTAGATACGCGCCCAGCCTTATGCTTGTGGAAACGTGACCTACAGCAGCTTTTTCATTGAGCAGTACCCTTAGCACGAACCATTATCGAGTTCGAATAGTTTGCGAGTCCGAAATGTCAATGTCAAATTTGTACTGATTTTTAGTTCTACTAACGTACTTTGTGCCGCTGCTGTTCAAGTTTCCATACAAAATTTGACATTGACATTTCGGATTGCACAATATACGAATTCGATAATGGTTCGTGCTAGGGGTACTGAATCCACTTTATGCCGAACCTAAGTTTCCGTGAAAGCTCTTCATTTAAAGTTGAGAAACCGCCATGCGCAGCTTAGATAGGATTTCACGCTTGGGTTTGTAAGTAGCAATTCAAAGACAAACTTAAGCTTTAGTGTTTCCGCACACGGGCCACCGACCACAGCCACAAAACGCCGCCACCGGCATATTTCTTGTAGTTTTCATACATTTTATATGGACTCGCCACACACGATACGCCGGTGGCCGCCACACACTACAATTAATGCGCCGATACAAAACGCCGCCGCCACACGTCACTCTCGTGGTTCCGCACCCCTCTCTCCCTTACCTTAGTCGGCTGCTGTCGCGCGCTTCAGCAACTTTAGTAGCCGCTTCTAGCTTCCCGTGGCGGCGTTTGTGGCTGTGGCGTGTGGCCCGTGTGCGACTTAAATTTGTATCTGCCACAACGACGAAAGTGAAAGTTTAATACTACATTTCATTTTATTTAACTGCCAGTTTTTACCATCAGAAGAAAATTGTAATCAACATTTCTTTCACTGTCATTTTAGGTATCACATGACAGCAAAAGAAAAACAATATAATAAAAAAGTAATAAAACACGAGTACACTGCCAAAATACCTTTTTATGACTTTCTTAACGTCTTAAAACTAAAATATTGATATTTGTTTTTAGAATATTATAAGCCAGTGTCACTTGGCATGAAATAAGGATTCTTACGATATAGTACACATCCAAGTCTATATTTGGAAGTGGGCACTGTCCCCTGTGACACAGGTCTTTAACTTATAATAGGAGTCAGGGACTACATTATATTCAGGTATGTAATCAATATATGTGACATTAAATAAATAGGTATTATTATTAATGAGGCATTTACAATTTATGGTGGAAGAAATAATTTATAATTTCCAGTCTATATACACTTCTGGACACATCTATTGGCCCACCTTGTATTTTCAGTTTCGTTTGGTCCTAGCTAAAATTTTATATTAGGTCGAGCAAAAAGTTTTTATGCAGTTTTGAACCTGGCACATTCACAATTTCATTCAATAGTCTTTTTTTGAATTTCGAACACAGAATTTAAAGAAACAAAAGACAATTTGGAGCCTGTTTGTTGATATCAAACAATCGAATACTAAGAAAACTTGGTTTTATTGGTTTACTTGGATTTAATTCTTGAAAATGTGATTGATATCTTTGGTTTTGCAACAAACATTACTTATTCTTAACATTAAGATGAGGTTCTATCAATAATCTATGGATACTTCACCTGAAGTCGCCGCCCAAGCTTTGGCACTTATTCAGGCCGGACACAGCCAAAGAAACGTGAGTGCTCAACCTAATTTAAGTTGATCTGCGGTCCGAAATGTTTATCGGAGGTACCTAGAGACTGGCGGCTTTGTTCGTCGCCAAGGAAGGCCACGATCTCGGGTCACAACTGAAAGGCAGGATCGATTCATCGTGACGACCAGCTTGAGAAATCGTCACCTTACCTCCATTGAGATACAAAAACAAATTCGCGACTTCCACGGAGTATCTGTGAGCGCTCGAACTGTTCGGAGAAGGTTAAAAGAACGCGATATGGTACCACACAAGCCAGCTAATGGGCCCAAACTAACGCGAGCCCACCGAACAGCGCGCCTTCATTTCGCACGCAGTCATTTAAATTGGATACAGCAAGATTGGAGCCGTGCACTCTTTTCTGATGAGTCTAAAATTGTGTTACATGGCAATGATGGAAGGAAGAAGGACTACCGACGTAAGGGAGAGCGTTTCGCACAATGCTGCTTTGAAGAGAGGGTTGCTTATGGCGGTGGCTCATGGACTGTCTGGGGCGGTATATCCGCGAGCGGCAAAACTCAACTTGAGGTTGTTACAGGACCACGGCTGCCAACATTAAATGTTGAAAGGTACATTCGTGAGTGCTTAGAACCTCACGTGATACCATACGCGGACTATGTGGGCCCAAATTTCCTTTTTATGCATGATAATGCAAGAGTCCATGCGGCCGGCATCGTCAGGGAATATCTTCGGGATGTGAACATCACAGTTATGGACTGGCCAGCCAGAAGCCCAGACATGAACCCCATTGAGCACATGTGGGACGAGCTAAAAAAACGTGTTAGGGCTCGTCAGCCAGTTGCCCAGACGATGCAGGAGTTGAAAACTGCCATAGAAGAGGAATGGGAGATGATCCCTCAAAATTTCATAGAGCGGTTGATAAACTCTGTGCCTAATCGTATGAGAGCTGTGGTAGATGCCACACGCACACACGCGCAATACGCGTTATTAAATTAAACCTTTATTTGATAAAACATGTTTTTTATTCAAAAATCAATTGCCTTTAACAAGGCGCATATCCGACTTGTTAGGCGTAGCTCCATGTCGTATGGTATCCTGAATTCAAATTTAAAACAATACGATCGAAAAAGATGGTAAAATGTATCAGGTTTAAAACTGCATCAACAGTTTTTGTTCAATCTAGCAATCATATTTCGGTAGGGGCCATCGAAACCTAAACTCTAAGGTGGGCCAATAGATGTGTCCAGAAGTGTACTTTAACCCTGAAAAGCTAATACTTCTTTTCAGGCAGTTCTTCTAAGGTAACTTAAAACAAATAAAGAAAATATGGATGTGTGTAACTTATGTACGCGCGTGAGAAGTTATACTTCTTTAGCATCATTAAAAATATTTATTAATTGCATGCAAATAATTAATAATTACAATAAAATAATAAAAGGACTGGAAAAGGATAGTTAACACAGTCAATTAGTTCAGTTTTAATTTGAAAAATTAAATAAATATTCAAAATATTCAATTAAAATCACTACTGAATTTAAGTTATTAGTCCATATGTAATTAGCACTTGTAAGTAACTAAAACACGTTGTGTCTATATAGAAACTAGAAACATGTGGATAAATATTATAAATATGAAAACAGTGATCAGAGGCGACGAGCGTGCCAACATTGTTTTTGACAACGCGATCATCTTATGGAGCTCCGTGGATCGTTCAAAGTACCTTTCGAGTACTAACATTCATAACGCGCCCGCGGCCAACTTCATGGTGTTACTATTGTGTTACAGTGATGCGCGCGCATCTCAAATTTCACTCACATGATTTTTTCATAACGCGCCCACAGCCAACTTCATGCTGTTACTTTTGGGTTACAGTGATGCGCGCGCATCTAAAAATTTCACTCTCATCATTTTTTCAAAACGCGCCTAAAGAAGTATAACTTCAAAAACATCTACAAATGTCATGTTTAATGACATTAATATATCAATAGGCCTTTTTACATGTATTTCCATTGGATAGTTATCAAGTTAATAAAAAATATCTATTAAACTATTTGAATACCACCTCCGCGTCTTTGACTTCGTCTGCGTTAACTTTAGTCTTAGAAAATCCCTCAGGAAAAGTAATAATGCGAAATAAAGTATGCTATATCTCGCATCAGATTATAAACTATATGTACAGCAAATTCCTTCTAAGTTCGTTCAGTGGTCTTTGTGTAATTGTCTTATCATGATTTTATCTATGTAGCCTATATATAATCTTCCGCGATAAAAGGTCTATTTATCTATCACAAAAATAATTTTCCAATTCGTATCAGTAGTTCCTGAGATCAGCGCGTTTAACCAAACAAAAAATATTATTATAGATATCATACTTAAATATACCTTCTGTCTGCAGTAGAGGTCACTTCAATAGCTAAAATGGGATCGACTATCAAACACTTGATGTAACCAGTTATGTCAAGTATCAACACAATTAAACGCAACAATTTAGTGCAGTAGTAAATATACCTACCTATGTACGAGTATGCATTATTGTTTTTGTCACAAGAGGTTCGATATCAAATTATCAAGTGTATTTAGCCCAGATAATTAATGACACTGTAACTTTATTTATTGATAAGCATTTCATATGAAATGGTAGTAGTAAAATACTATAATAATTTACAAGTTAAATATTCATTTTGTTATGAAACTAGGTATTTATTTTATTTAACTACGTATGCAAATCCAAGATAATACATGCGACGTCTAAATGAACCCACATCTTGTGAGAAGTCAGTGTTGATTCCAACATGATTCTAAACGCATGTTTCTGTTTTACATTGTTATTACTTAGCTTATGCTGCTTATTTTGTTATAAGAAATTTAGCTATTGGAGTGATAAAAATATAAAAGGTCCTACACCCTGGCCAATAGTAGGTAATTTTGCAAATGTGATGTTTCAGAAAAAATCTGTTAACCAGTGTATAAAAGATGTTTATTTCAAATATAAAGGAGAAAAGCTAGTAGGGTTATATCGCGGCTTTCAGCCAATGCTGTTAGTTAATGATCCAGAGTATATTAAACATATTTTAGTAAAAGATTTCAATTGTTTCCAAAATAGAGGAATGAGTACGAGCAAAAGCCGTCTTAGTGACAATCTATTTAGTGCAGAAGGGGAAAAATGGAAAATATTGAGGCAGAAACTTACACCAGTTTTTACGTCAAGAAAACTAAGAGACATGGTGCCTATTATTCAAGAATGTGTCGAAAGTTTTTTACTATTTGTGGATACGCTAGCCAATAGAAATGTTGATTACGAAATAAGGGATATGACATCAAAATATACTATGAAAGTTATAGGGAAGTGTGCTTTTGGTTTAGATGTTGATACTTTTACTGATGAAAAAAACCAGTTCAGTGAGATGGCAAATTTAATTTTTAAACAAACTTTATCAGACAGGTTATTAACAGTTTTGGATATGATTTTCCCAGGTCTGAAAAAACTTTTTGTTACACGTTTGGATATACAAGATTATTTTGTAAGTCTCGTGCGTAAAGTATTGTTGGAAAGGGAAGGCAAACCCTTGATACGCAAAGACTTTATAGACTTCATGCTCGAGCTTAGAGATTGTGGAAAAATTAACAGAAAATTAGACAATGAAAAAGTGTGTGAGATTGAAATTGACGATTACATGTTAGCAGCGCAGGCATTCGTGTTTTATACAGCTGGTTATGAGACATCGTCAGCGACAATGTCCTTTATGATTCATGAGCTTGCATTACATCCAGAAATCCAAGACCGCGTTTATGAGGAAATTTCCCAAGTTCTGGCTAAATACAATGGGGAGATTAATTACGAGTCCATCAAGTATATGAAATATTTAGAAATGGTGTTTGATGAAACACTTCGTAAATATACTGTAGCTGGTATATTGTTCAGAAAAGCCTCATCGAGATACACATTTGCTGGTACAAATTTAACGATAGAAAAAGGAACACTAGTGCTTATATCGGCTACTGCGTTGAGCACCGACTCTACGTATTTTCCTGAACCTGACAAGTTTAATCCAGAAAACTTATCATCGGAAAATATATCAAAATTACCCAAATATGTTTATTTGCCCTTCGGTGAAGGACCACGCAATTGCATCGGTAAGTGTAGTGAGGGATTACTTTTTATTATAATTATTAAATGATAAAGATAACCTAACCTTCGCCTCAGCCCCAGCCCCCGGGGACGTATGGAATAGCGTCACCCCGGGACTGGGTCTGAAAAAACAAAGAAAAACACATAGAAAACAAAAATCAAATAACCAATTCCATTGTAATAAAGTGAACAAAATAGAACACATAAAAAAACCTAACCTTCGTATTACAGGTAAACAAACCTTGGTTCGTTTACCGGTTAGTTAATAAAAACATATTCAATTTTGCACTAGGTGGATCGTACTTTAATCAAACCATTCGTACTTCAGAATACAAAACATAGAAGTGCAGCTGCACCTGATAAATAGCACTTGGTCAGATTACCTGTAATCAATAGTACTTGCGGGTATCTATTTTTACTTGAAGTAGTTATGAGTACGCATAATCTACCAAGATTATAGTTAACTACTTGTATTCGTTATTAGAATCAGATTACTGAAAAGAAAATCCTGCATCTCTGGCATGCAATAAAACATTTATACTCGTATATTGGCAACTAGATAATTAGTTATCTTTCTATTTCACCGAAATCTAAGTGTACTTTAAAAATGAATAAAATAACTAAATTATATGTCGCAAGCTCAAACAATAAAATCCTCTATTGTAATAAATCAGTAAAGACCTTACTTACTTACCATATTTCAATATTATTATTTTTGTATTAAAACGTGTTTGCTAAAAAACTACATGCACTCTTGCGCTTATCTTGAAAAACAACAACCGGTATCACACATTAAAAAAAATACGTATGGCACTCGGGGACGGCCGCGCTCAAGCGGCATTTTTTATCAACTTATGCAATTGTAATTATTTATTTAATGCAGATTATTTTTCTTTGATATCAACTCAAGTTAATATTGCATATAGCATATATTAAATATAGCATTGTGTCTAAAAGAGATAGAATCAGTTATGAGCAGTTAGCAGCTAGTCTACACGCATACATCTAGTCGCACGCACACAAACACCGTGCCGAAGTCTGCCGACCTGAAACGACGTTAGACAATGCACGGCTTTCAACGCCGCACCGCTGTGCAGGTCGGAGTGGGGGGTGTTAAAAGAAAGAAACAAAGAAAATATTTTTATAAACCCTTAAAAAATACAACATGTCATACAACAACCCTGCCTCAGCGTTAGCTGATGCGACATTGTGTCGCACCAGCGCTGATATTCAGGCAGGGCCTGCTTGGAGTTATATAAGCTGGCGGTTGGCGCGCGTGAGGCGCTCGTTGATGTAGACCCACGGCGGTGGCTGACGGACCGCCCTCAGCAGCGGTGTCCGGGGCGCCTTCCTTCGTATCCGCAGCCGGCCCCACGCCTCGGCGGGTGGCGCACCTACACGCCCCGCGAACACCAAGTCCCGCCTGTCGAGAGTCACTCCCAGCCGCACGGCCAGCATGGTGACGCTCTGCTCCACCCTGTCGCCCCTCTCTTCGGACATCCCGCCGATCTCCAGGTAGGACATCAACGCATCCTGATCGCGGTCGTTAACCTCGGCGCGCAGATCGGATATGGTGCGCTCCAAGTCCATCCTACCAGTTGCATCAGGATCCACTTGACGCTGCTGTAACACCGCAATTCGGAGTCAAATCGAGCGGTAAAAGAACTACGGAAGGCCGCCATCTCCGAGCGGAATTCCCTCATCTCGTTCATGCAGTGGGCCAGTATACTTTTTGTATCACTGGTGTTATTATTTCCGGCGGCGTTTTTCCTTGGCCTTACCCTGGACCTCATCTTCCTTTGGAGAGCCACTGCCCAGGTCCACAGGTTCCCGTTCAGCAACCGGTTTTTCGGGCTCGGAAGATTTGCTGATACCCTTTACAGGCAAATGCGTATTGTCACCCCTGCGTGTGCTCTTCTTTCAGTTGGGGCATATCCAGTCCTTGCTGACACGCGATTTTTCCGGGATGGCGAGGCAGGACTGTTATATTTTATTGGGCAAGCACAGCAAACAACAGCATTGCCCGGCGCCAAAAAACTTCCACAAGCTCCATAGTTTACCATCTTTAGTCCAAAAATTTAAATTATAATTATCAAGACTAAATAAAAAGGAGACAAACAAAAATAAGAACAGGTGCTGGAGTCTAAAACAAATATATAAAAAAAGGAAAAACATAATAATAAAAAAAAACGACGGGTTGCACTCTGGGATTGCCGGCAGAAGTGAAAACTTGAATATTAACGTTGTGCATTATTAATATTTTGGAATGGTTAGGGAACAATTTTGCACGAATTGCTTTAATTATCAGTATAAAAGTACTATCATTTATGTAGTAAAATACAATATTTATTTATTGCGCTGTCGTACACAAACATGACAATTTATATTACATTTAAAAAAGTTTATCCCTCAGAAAAATTAACTTACATGAATCACGTCTAAGCGCACTTAGCGACATCTTTTGTAAAAAAATCAACTTACATGAATCACATTTAAGCGCACCTAGCTACATCTATTGTAAAAAAAAATGTATTTTCTTCGCAATAAAGCTGCCACCTGGACGGCCTAGATAGCGCCTTATTATTATAATACGATAAAATAAAATATTACTATGTTACGTCCAATTTTTTTTTTTTATGTTATAGGTGGCATACGAGCAGACGGCTCACCTGATGGTAAGTGATCACCGTCGCCCATGGACACTTGCAACACCAGGAGTATCACAAATGCGATGCCGGCCTTTAAGGAAGGAGTACGCTCTTTTTTTGAAGGTTTTTGGGTCGTATTGGTCCGGAAACACTGCTGGCGACAATATATTCCACAGTTTTGTCGTACGTGGTAAAAATTTCGACAAAAACGCACGGTTGTGGATAGCCACGCATCAAGATGATGGGGATGAAATTTTTGTAGCGATATACGATGGCGAAATGCAGCAGCTGGAATTAATCCGAACAATTCCTAAGAACACTCCACGTGATAAATGCGATAGAAGATGCAGAGCGAAGCTATATCCCTACGCAAAGCCAAAGGATCAAGCTGATCGGAAAGGTCCTGGTCGTCGACGATTCGAGCCGCTCGGCGCTGGATGCGATCCAAAGGGAGAAGCTGGTACTGGGGTGCCCCCGCCCAAAGATGAGAGCAGTACTCCATGTGAGGCCGGACCTGTGCCTATATTAATATATTGAAAGTCAACAACCTTTCCAATTTTATTGTTTTCGTCAGATCCCCGATCAGGCCACGTGTCATGACGCGATCAGCCCACGTGTCCTGACGCGAATTTAACATTTTTACCCATACAAAAAAAAGTGTACAACGCCGCTAAAGAAGTTTTCACTTCAAAAATTAAAAATACGAGTGCGGGATTTGAACCCGGTAATGCGTCGAACGATGGTACCGTGGCAAATTTTTAACACTCTGCGCCGTTTAGATTGGTACTGGAATGGCAAAAATTGTGTTCTATTGGTATATGCACTTTTGTCAGGTTTTTTTTTCGTTACGAAATTTCTTGATTCGCCGCTCGCAAAGCCCGCGATAAAAGCTATACAATAGCTTAAAAAAATTCGAGAGTAAACTAAAACGTACTTTTAGTACTAAGGTTTCGGTTACATCTGATCATATTCAGATTTACAATATGTTCCAGAAATAATTTGACATTTTCCTCAGACAATATAAACACATTAATTTACACAATATTTTAATGTCTTTTGTAAGTGACTAGACGCTTAGATGAATAGTTGGTCTGCCGTCAGTCAACCGAAGATAGTTCAATTTATTTATCGAATACTAAGGGATACTCATGATATTTCTAGCCACAGTGGCTTAGCAAACAAAATGGCGGCCACGACGTTGCGAGCTGTGATTTGTCGATTGAGTGGACATAGAACACTAAAGCACTGAACGTTTCTAACGAGCTAGGATTAATGAGGAGAGAACAAACAAGCGCAGTTTTAATTACGATGTCGTGTCACAAATAAAATACAATTCACTTTTTTGCCTTGTTAAAATTATAAATGTTATAAATATTTTTTAACCAACAGGATCATTTTTTTACTGCATGCTGCACTAAAAATATTTTTTTTTAAAATATGGTCGATAACACAAATACGCACAGGAGCGATGATGCGTTAAACACGATTAAACACTAATTTGAATTTACAACTTTGGTGCATGTAGATCTAAAAATTTGTAAGCCACAGTTATTCGGTTGAACAATATTTATCTACTATTATATCCCTTCTAAGAATTTCGTCCTTTCGACAGTTCTTGGTAGGTTGTCGTGTCAGTTACCTCTTTGATATCAGTTTTGTTATCAGATTAATAGACTGTGTAGACGAGGGACTTTTGTTTAGGAATAGGCGATATAAATCGTGTATAGATAGATATTGAAACTTAGATTGCATTAATATCGTCAAATCCGATGTCAATGCGTTCTGAAACTATATATTTTGGAAAAATACAGAAACTCGATACGCGTTGATACTACTGTATTGTATGTAAACGGTTTAAACTATTTTGAAACGTATCGAAGGGATAACGGTTGTTCGTGGGTTTTGCATCGCTTTATGCTTAAATTATATTTAATTTATCATTCAGAATGATCGTCAAATATTGTTCTATTCAATTTTAAGTTAAGCATAATAAATAATCTCAACAATACGAATAAATAAATCAATACAATATAAATGGACGGCTGGGTTCGTTTTTTTCTATTTAGAACGTCTACTCTTTTTTTTAAGCTTCATGTTAATTAAAACATTATAACATTATTATCTCAAAATACTGCTTCCATAGCGTGTGCCTCACTAAATTTTCGGGGGACTATTAATGTCCGCACACCGTTTTTTATAATACACGGACAAAAGTCCTTCACTGCGCGAGCCATAATGATTACATCTCTGTTCTGACTTTCCAGGTATGCGGTTTGCGAAGATACTTTCATTATTAGCAATGGCTGCATTCTTGAAGAAATTCAAAGTAGAACCTGCCAAAAAAACTAAGAGAGAATTGACATTCAACCCTAAAGGAATGATATTGATTTCAAATGAAGGTATATGGACCAAAATATCCAGGAGGCAGACATAACAACTTGTTAAATAAATGTCCAACTATATGTTGTATTTCTCTGAAATATCATAATAATATTAATTACAATTAAATATTACATTTTATTAAATTACCTAAAAGTTTTGTATTTTTTATTTCAAAATTGCTCTAATTTTAATTGCGGTGATAATGGACCAAATTCTGGCATGATTCTCTAAACCTAAAACTAAATTTAACAATATGAAGAATAAAAAGAGAGAGACTTTTGTCAAAATCAAATTTTAAGTATTACGAATCGGGCCATAATTAGGCGTACTCCTACTCCTACTAATATTATAAATGTGAAAGTTTGTTTGTTTATTACTCAATCACGCAATAATAACTGAATGGATTTGGAGGCAAAGGATAATTTTTATTTAGGAAAAACGTTAGGTTCCTTTGGGATTGTCAAAAACTATAGTTAACGTGGACAAAGTCGCGAGCGGCTACTAGTTGCATTTGCACCTCCATTTGAACTTTATTTTTCAATATTTTTATTTGTGTTCTAATGTAGGAAATTGAAGGCATAAATATAATTATTATCGCTTCTTCAATTAAAAACGAAAATTTTTATCACACTGCCGTTTATTATTTTATGTCCTAGGTGTTGAGGATGAACGAAAACTGAGCTCCGAGTCAGAAAATATGAAGTAAGCTAACGGAATAAATTGGCTTAGTTAAACCACTAATAGCTCTTAAAACTCATATAAGCACCATCTTACCTGTTACTTCAAAAGCAACTTTACGATGAGCTAGTAACTTTTAATAAGGTTATAAAACGATTCTTTTGCGGAAACTTATATTAAGTTTCACTGTTACTGAGGAGAAAATATCAGGGGTTTCTCGTCCTAAATATTTTTTTCTTGTTATAGCACAAACCTAATTCCCAAATAATCATCATCAGCCTATTAATGTTCCCACTGCTGGGGCACAGGCCTTCTCTATGGATGGAATAGGGAGATATTTTGATTTATTTATGGTAGGTGCAAACGAATGGCCATTACTACATATTTTTTTAAAAACAAAATTGTAATAGGTGTATCATCATTATCAGCTTATCTAATTCCTTACTGCTGGGACAGGCCTACCCTATGGATGCTATACGGAAAATGGTTCATGACCCCCAACACGGGCCTAGTGCGGTTTGGTGCTAAAAACTCCAGATGCAGCCGAGAGTAACTGCTTAACACGTTAAACTCCTTCCTTCCAAAGCATGGGGAAGCTCAAAATAAGATTTAAAAGAAGTAAGGTATAGCAGATTAAGGTAAGGTGGAGGATACCTCCCCAGGTATCCTCCACCTTACAAAAGACACAGTAAAATAACACTACCTTTTGGTAGTGTTGATTCTGTGGTGAGTAAGGTTCCAGGGCTCCACGGGGTAGGAGATTGGGTCAGGGTAGGTAATAGTAAGTATAGATATTTTAAGTATCATAAGCGTCTATAGGCTTTGGTGTCCGCTTACAATCAGGCGGGCCATATGCTTGTATGCTACACTTTTAACATGAAAAAGACAATAAAATTTTGATCGCCCATCCTATAATCGGCCATTGTGAAATTTCATTATCTTCCATAATTGTAAACAGAACGCCTTAACCACTTGCGTTACCTGTATCGAACTTCCCCATAATTTACCACCGCGAATTTTGAGTTACACGAGAAATTTAAAAAACTTATAAATAAAAAAAAGTGCGTACAGTTATAAACAGAAAACGTTCTACAAGTCATCACAAAATAATAGGCCCGTTCTGACATTTATAACTAGTGATGTAACTACACGACTCGGTACACGATACTCACTATAAATGGTTTGAAGCTTGTATGAGTATTTGATTGTTTGATTATGTATTAAAAAGTGCATTGGATTTTAGTTCTGATTAGAAATTTTAACTTAAACTTTCATATTGTAGGTAATGTGAAATGGTACGAAAGGACAATTTGCCTTAATTTTTTGTTTGTTACAATAACATTCGCTCAATCACAAAGAAAAAACAAAAATCTTAAATCAATTATTTTCTTATGATGATGAGCCAAAATCGTCAGATAAGATATCGTCGCCTGTATATTTAATATATTTTTTTAAATTATTTCATTTTCTATAAGATTATCAATATTGATATCTTTGTCACATTCTTCCTTTATTATTTTTTGTGTCTATTCTACCACTTTTTCCCAGTAGATGCCTTAGTATCGTCCATTCATAACTGCAGCGCGGTATGATTTGAGTTCAGCCAAGTCTCATCGATAAATATAATATTGACCCAAATTGTGTTTTTTTTTACTAAATTTTGACTTTTTAGTAATTTTTACTCATATTGCAAGTATTACTGATTAAAGAGATTGATTAAAACAAACATGTAAATATGAACTTACACTCAGGGATCCTTTATGCAGTGATCGTATTGAGTTTGTAATTTTTGCACCCTAATTTCGAAAAAAAAAACATATGCCTAGGCGAGTAATGTAGTGAAAAAGGACACTATAATAATTACAAACAATAAGGGCATAGAGTATTTAATTATAATATTTATTATAAAGTCAATTATTTTAACTAAATCTTTTTAAGATACTGACAAATAGCGGTTTTTGTATGTTTAAAAAAATTGTATTTAATGGTTTTAAAACATGAAATAAAAAGTTTCCGGCACCATATTCAATAATACGACCATAATTTAATATGATTTTGTAAAATTTATATTCGACACCCCCCAAATTACCGATTCGTTAAATTTTATGACAAACTGCAAGTCTCTAATGACAACGAAGAACAATAATTATTTTTTCAAGTTTAGTATTAATTTCGAATATGAATCTTCATGGGCATACTTATGGCAAAACGGGCCTATTATTTAGTGAAGTCTTTACACCCCCCTATCTTTGACCCCCATACAAAAATGTTGATTAATATCGTTTAAAAAATATTCTTAAATGGCGCAAATTTGTAAATAACATACCTGTTATGGAATTATTATCCCTTTTAATTACATTTATCCTAAAAGGAGTTTTATATAAATCGATTTATAAAAAAGAAATTCATAAGATGTTTACACCCCAAATAAGTATTGACTTTTTAAAGGAGTAGTTCTTGGTAAAGAATCTGTACAGATTCTATTCAGAAAGGTAAACGAAACGAGCCCGCACTGACTCGGTGAGGAAAGTATAATTAAGTAGCTCGCTTCGCTTTATTAACCTCGGATAATTTAAGCACGATCGAAGACATTTACTATCATTTTTTAACGCGAGTTTGTTTGAAAATGTTCTTATCAGTCAAGTTTACTTCAGTTACTGTTTTCTATGATTCATCGCGACAAAAAAATCCAGTACAATGAGAATCTTATTATCTTAAATTGTTTACGACATACAACAAAAGTGTAGAATTTATTATTACCAGATAATTCTAGGCCGATTAGACTATAAGCATTATAAACAAGCAAGCTCCTTTCGTCGAGGTCAGCAATGAAATTCAGATCACTCAGATACTGTATATATCCAGGGGGCAGGGGCCTGAGACAGGGTAGGTAATGGTGGGAGAGAATTTTTGTATCGCTAGCGTTTATATACTATGGAGGAGACAGCACCTGATTATTATTAAGAGAGGTAGAGTATAGCGGATTTTCCGCTCAAATTGGAGCGCCCGGCCCGGGAAGTGGCCTCCACCTAAAAGAATATCACAGTAAAATAACACTAACGTTTGGTGGTGTTGTGTTTCTTTCGTTGAGTAAGGTTTTAGGTCTACACGAGTGATAATTTTGGTATCGCGGTATAAGCGTCTATAGGCTTTGGTGGCCGCTTACCATCAGGCGGGCCATAAACTTGTATCGCCACACTTTTAACATAAAAAAAATACATTTTTGACATTCATAATCTCAACATAAAAACTGAGCCGGAAATTACAATAACGAAGTCAAACTTAAATTGACTCGTAGATCTGTAATCTTATAAACCCTCGCTGTTAACAGCAGTCGATAGCTTTGATTGTTTTTGGTATCGCAAGCATCTATAGGCTTTGGTGGCCGATTACCATCAGGCGAGCCATAGGCTTGTTTGCCACTCTTTTAACATTAAAGAAATGTTGATGGACCGTGAGGATGAGTACCTAGTCAATGCTAGTGAAAAGCTTATGAATTAAAAAAATATGCCGATGTTGCTAAGGTCTTCCACACTATTCACGCCGTAAACTCGTTTTACAAATAACAAAAACATGATAACTTGCTTGTGAAAATTAGACGAGTCAAATATTGAGCTTCAGTAATTTATCCTTAATTGTCTGCTTAAGAAAACGATTCAAGTATTGAAATTATAGAAATTAATAATTAAAAATGGTGTTGTAAATTATATACTGCTTAAGTAGTTAATTATTTTACGGTTATTTTGACTGTAAATTTTAAATATCAAGTAGTTTTTAAGTTTTTGTTAACTAAATGTATATATTTTAACCATCTATCCATCAATGACTGACCATTGCTAAAGTTGCTTAACTTCAACGATCGTAGCCGAACGCGCTAATTACTTGCACCATCGAGCTTCTCAGAGCAATTAAAATGATTATAATATAATATTATGTATTGGTTATAGTATAAATTATTAGATATAGGTGAATGTCTTTTTATCTACAAATGTCATAGCAGAGATAACTGATCTATAAAAACGACTCTGTCGCAGACGAAACTCAGTGCAGACCTAGTCATGTCCTTAATCGCATGTTTTACGCTCTCAGTGATATTAGTCACTGTGTTTTGTTTATATTGTAAGAAAAAGTATAGTTATTGGAGAGAAAAGGGGGTAAAGGGCCCAGTACCATGGCCTGTAGTAGGTAATTTTGGAAATGTAATATTGCAAAAGGAGTCCCTTGACCAGTGCATAAAGGATATTTATTCCAAATATAAAGGAGAAAAACTAGTCGGTTTATATAGTGGATTTAGACCAGTGGTATTAATTAGAGACCCGGAATTGATCAAACATGTACTAATCAGAGATTTTGATGTTTTTCAAGAGAGAGGTAATAGTTCGAGAGGCAGTCGCCTAAGTGATAATCTGTTTAGTGCAAATGGAGAAAAATGGAAAATAATGAGACAAAAACTTACACCAGTGTTTACGACACGAAAACTTAAAGAAATGGTACCGAACATACAAAAATGCATTGCTAACTTTTTACAATACGTAAATAATCTGGTTGAAAAGAATATTGATCATGAAATAAGAGCATTGACCGCCAAATATACTCTCGAAGTTATCGGATCATGTGCTTTTGGATTAGATTTAAAATTGTATACCGATGAAGAAAACAAGTTTAGTAGTATGGCAAAACAAATTTTTACTCCAACCTTTAGATCAAGATTAATAGTGTTATTAGATATGATCATTCCCGGTATAAGAAAGAAGTTTAGTACACGCCCTGAATTGCAAGAGTTTTTCGTTGATCTCGTACGTAAAGTACAAAAGGAAAGAAAAGGAAGGCCACTCAGTCACAGAGACTTTATGGATCTTATGATTGAGTTAAAAGAGGAAGGGAAAATTAGTAGAAAGTTAGAAGATGGTAAAGTTGAAATAGAAATTGACGATTACATGGTGGCAGCGCAGGCTCTTGTATTTTATTCCGCTGGTTTCGAGACGTCTTCAGCCGCAATGTCATTTTTGATTCATGAGCTTGCGTTACATACAGATGTTCAAGACCGCCTTTATAAAGAAATTTGTGAAGTATTAGAAAAGTACGATGGAGAGATAAATTACGACTCTGTTAAGGATATGAAATATTTGGAAATGGTGTTGGATGAAACACTACGTAAACACTCTCTTGCAACTGTGCTTTTCCGGAAATCCTCTTTAGCGTACACATTTCCTGGTACAGATGTGACAATACCGAAAGATACCTCTGTTATGATATCAGCAAGTGGATTAACAAAAGACCCTAAATATTTTAACAATCCTAATGAGTTTAATCCAGAAAATTTTATGCCAGAAAAACTAAACAATCTACCGCAGTGCGTTTACTTGCCATTTGGTGAAGGCCCGCGCAATTGCATAGGTATGATTATCTTATATTATTTTTCTATCCATTATTATGAGCTTTTAATATTTTTATTGTGTAATTTATTTTGCTTAGTAAAGATCCTAACTAGCTGGTGTATGCCACATTACCACAAAAAAACAAGATTCACTATTTTATAATTAGATTAAAACCTTCCGCTTAGAGTTAGTTATTGAATGGACTTGGTATCGTAATATCCTTCCAGGTGAATAAGAGCTTCTCATGAAGCGACCGTAGTTGCATCATTTACCGTAGTTGATTCATAAATCTGATGATTCTCATGTACAGTCTTAGCCGTAATTTTTATTTTTAAATAAGGAATATGATATTCAATAACATAGCTCAAACTTAAAATTAATTTAAAGTCAACATGTTACAAAGCCCTTATTATATAAATGATCACTTGATAATAATTCTAGAGTAATATTCGTTTTCTTAACACCATTATAACAATGAAGTGTCTTATCTTAAATTAATTCATTCTTATTGTTTGTGCAGGTATGCGATTTGCCAAAGTGCAGTCGCTGTTAGGAACGGCAGCATTCTTTAAGCAATTCAAAGTAGAACCTTCAGAAAAAACCAAACAGGAACTGGTGATGGATCCGAAAGCAATAGTTGTAACATGCAAAGAAGGAATATGGGTGAAAATTACAAAGAGATAGACATCTATATATTTTAATTATTTCTATGTTTCCCTATTTGTTTAATGCTATTTGTTTAATGTTTAATATATATATATATATATAGTTCGTTCTGTATATCTATAACTATTTTGTTGTTTTCTTCAGATTTCTACCTAAATAAATAGTATTGCACGATAATACGGTATGTTTACTGTGTCACGTCACGAACAAATATTACGTGACAATGAATAAACTAAATTCATTTGAATTGTTTACAACTCCTCCATAATAAACAGTCAGTTTGTTTTAATATTACTATCAGTATTTACTTACTAGATAATTTACGTGTATGCATTTAAATCGTAATAGAAGATTAGTGCTATTTAAGAATATTGCAATTCAAAAAAGAATAAACAAATATAAGCAACCTACGATTTTGAGTTGCTACTGCCACTGACCCCCTTGGATCTCCACTAAAATACTTTATGATAAATATTTGTAATAATAAATAGATATACCCAAACCAAAGTCATATACAGTCATGCAGCACAAATAAAATCAAAACACCAATACGTGAAGCCAGGTGATGGTGATTTGCTAGACACCTTAGCAAATCACCATCACCAATAAGTACTGGGCCCCAGATTCTGATCCGAGGTATCAACAGCTGGTACGCGGGGAGAGACGCCAACATAGGAAGATACTCCCGAACCCAACGGCACCAGAAATGATCTGTTAGGCGAAAAGATTTATGCCAACTGTTCCTCTTATACGGGTCCATGTAACCGAGTGGGGATGTACGGTTCTTTGATTTTTTTATGTTAAAAGGGTGGGAAACAGGAATAAATGGCCCGCCTGATGGTAAACGGCCACCATAGCCTATAGATGGTACAGGCTACTTTCCCAGATGCCTGCGATACAAAAATATCAGTCGTAATTTATCAATATACCATTACCTAGCTTGACCAAATCCCCTAACCACATGGGGCCCAAGAACCCTTCTCACCGACAGAAACACAACACCACCAAAAGGTAGTGTTATATTACTGTAGTCTTCTATAAGGATGGAGCGCTTGTCTGGGGAACTAACTTCCAGTTCCCCAGACAAGCACTCCAATGCAAGGGGAAAATCCGCAATGCCTTACCTCTCTTAAGATTTTTAAAATACCTTTGTCAGGCTTAGTAGGGCACATATAAAACATTTTAGATTGAAAACTTGTCTGTTTTTATTTGCTATCTTCTCAATAAATTATATCTGACAGTGTTCACAAAAAATATGAAAAAAATCACACAAATATTAAGGCGATCATTTTATCTGACACATGGGTTGTTCATAATAAACTTACAGTTAATTTAGTTTAACAATTGGACGTAAATTACCTACTCACTGAAAAGAAAAACTTTTTTAATTAAAACGTCGAGTGCAGTTTTTCAGCATATGATAATCTTCAGTTTGCATTGCAAATTTTATTTCCCCGCTTTATGTGTAAGTGTGGTTCATCATTTGCATTTACTCTGAAGTTCCAATGTGAATACCTATTTATGTACAAAATTACACGCACGCACACAGTTATTATTTGATTACTATAATAATATAAAGAGTGAACACTGATAACCTTTCTGCAGCTTATACAGATATGGTCATGTCAGGTGTAATAATCACAATGGTATTAATTGATTTATCTATTGGAAGTTAACTGAAATATGCTACGTAACTAACTTTATTATGACGCTGAGGCATATCCTTTAAATAATAGGTGTTGCTGATGGATGATGGAAACATAATATCATCATTATCGATGAATTGAGATCTTAAGCCCACTGCTGAATCTCCCCTAAAGATTTCCTGGGGGATTCAATGGGTCGGTCGGAATATGATATTACTGCTTCAGCTTTCACATTGGCTGGTCATCGGATGGGTGACCAAAACTGTATTATTTTGAGCTCAGCGTAGACCGTGGGTTCTATGCATTTGCAGTCGTTACCAGCTACCATTCCGCACTGGGCTCGCGTGAAGGCTCATGGCCCAATCTCCCTATTCCATCCACAGGAAAGGCCTGTGCCCGGCAGTGGGGGCATTGTAAGCTGATAACGATGATGAAGTCTATTGAAAAGAGCATAGGTTTATGTGGAGGCAGAAAATCTAAGCGTTGAATGTTCACAGAAATAATCATTGCTATTAATGACTAAAGGATTTTTACAATAAATTATGAGTAAGTTTCAATTTATCTTTGTAATAATAACAATAATCATTTATTTCAGATAATTATAATAGAATTATAATCCATAGTTATTAATACAAGTTAGTAACAATGTTGGACTTATCCTATGTTAGTAGTATTAGTATATTAAATAATCATTCATTACCTACTAAATTCAGTTAACAATTAACAGATATAGATACGACATTATTCATTGATGTTAAGTATGTTGGTGCACCCAGCGCTTAAACATTGGACTGTCCCAGCGTGCCACCAATGTTCTCAGGATGCCGTTGGAGCTGGCGCGCAGTCGCCCCAGCATAGATGCACACCCATTTCTTTTTATCGCGTGAAATCCATCTATCTGTGACTGTGCAAACATGCCTGAAGCACTACAAAAGCGTGGCAGCCCCATCAGCACCCTGAATGCATTGTTGTTCTGCACACGCAAGTCGCTGTATGCCCTCTGCGTATAGTCCACCCACAGGCTGCATGTGTAAAAAGACTAACAATGGTGTCGATTCTGGCAGGATTCTCTAAACTTAAAACTAAATTTGATATCAGTCTCTCCTTTTCATTCTGTGTAGAGAATGACAAGGATGCACTGTTGCCAAATTTAAGTTTAGGTTTAGAGAATCACGCAAGAATCGACACCAATATGCTTTAAATATTGTGACTTTAACCTGATTAGAACAATGTACGAACCTGCGGGCGATCATATTGCATCGGACAGCTAACGACCTGCGTTCCCGATTTATGTCCAAATTGTCATTTAAATTCGACGTGATCCAGTGATCCAGGTATTTAAACTCCTCAACTCTGTTCAACGGTGACCCGTCAAGTGAAACATTTAAAACTAAAGAATAATATTTGTTTCTTAGGTTTCCACGCACATGACTCATTAAATAAAACTAGTTTTTCACGGGTTAATGCACGTAACTTTATTTAATTATTGACGTTTCGCAGCCTTTACGGGCTGCGTCGTCGGAATAAATGTTTTATTTAATTTTGTCGAGCTACCTTCGAAAGACTTTTATTGAGCGTTCGGTTATTTCATTGTTCGATTTTTAAAGTTTTATTGTCTATGTATGAATTTATTACTTAATTTAGTTAATAAAGTACTTCATTTAAAAATCTTTTTCTGTAATTTTGAATTTATTTATTTGACCCTACCTACCGTAAACTACCACCGGATCCAAAATTGGGAGACCTTTCTGAGAAGAACCGGCGAAAAAAACTCAAGAAATCAGAAATCAATATATCTTTATTCAAATTGGATGTATAGTACAACACTTTTGAATGGTCCAAACATTTTTTTCCCTACCACTCGTTATTGGACATATTTTTTAGCTGCGGAGAAAAACGAGCGAAAAAAACTCCACAACATTAAAAGAATAATGTAACAACATTTACAAATCATTATGTTGTTACAACGTCAATACAATCATGATTTATTTAATATAGAACACCTGTTGGAATGATTGGAACAGTTCAAACCCAAGTATTTTTGTCTGTAATACACTTTGTAATAAGCTTTTTTAATAAGTGTTTTTTTATACTATCTTTGAATTTATTTATGCTTAACTCTTGAATATTGCTTGGGACTTTATTGTATAAGAGAACACAAAGACCTTTAAATAAATTATTGATTTTGTGAAGCCTAGTAGTAGGTAAAGTTAGTTTATTTTTATTTCTTGTATTAAGTGTGTGAACATCACTGTTTTTAAGAAACAAATTAATATTTTTTCTTACAAGTAATAAATTTTCGTAAATGTATTGTGATGCGACCGTCATTATACCAAATTCTTTAAACCTATCTCTTAAGGAATCCTTAACTTTAAGATTATAAATAGCTCTCTTCTGCAGCACAAAAATAGTTTGAATGTCGGCGGCGTTTCCCCACAATAAAATTCCGTACGACATTACACTATGGAAATAACTAAAGTATACTAATCTGGCCGTATCTACATCCGTTAACTGGCGTATCTTCATTACGGCATATGCTGCAGAACTAAGTCTATTTGACAATTTATCAATATGTGGGCCCCATTGAAGCTTAGAATCTAAAGTAATCCCTAAGAATACTGTGGTGTCAAGAGAGGCTTTCTATCTCCTTCTTATGTTAAATTATGCAAACAACCAACAACAAAAACGTCAATAAATAAATAAAGTTTCGTGCATTAACCCGTGAAAAACAAGTTTTAACTAAAGAATAAGTTTTATTGTCCGCCTTGAAAACCATTTTCTCACATTTCTTCGAGTTATGCCTGAGTCCATGGCCCTTAACATATTTTTCACAAATACCCAAAAGACGCCTCAAGGCACTAATCGAAGGGCTCAACAGCACCATATCGTCTGCATAGCTGATAGTGTTTACGCAGACACCGTCTATATGGCATCCGAATTTTGTACTATTGAGCTCCTCGATCAGCCCATTAATGTACAGATTAAACAGGCTAGGTAAAATCAATCCACACTTTAGCCTGTATGCATCAGAAAGCGAGTCTGCCCATCTCACTTGTTTTTCTGATGATTGTACCAATACCCGAACAGCCCAGTGATTTCATTTGGAAGGGTAGTATTACAGCGTAACTTATCCCACAGTGTATTGTATGACACCAAATCAAATGCCCTTGACAGGTCGAGAAAACATGCATAGATTGGTGTTCTTTTCGTTTTGTAGTATTTGACAACTTGGTTAAGGCACAAAATGGCACTTTCAGTGGAAATCTCAGGGCGAAAGCCAAACTGAGCGTCATTTAATTGAATGTTTAAATCCAAGTGTTGGCCAAGCAGAGCATCAAGCACTTCTGCAATTAATACAGATTAATACAGATGTGTGTACCTGTACCAACATATTTTTGTGATCTATTTTATATGATCGCTGACATCCCACTGTGAGAGCGAAATCGTGTTTTAATTTCCCCCCTCCTCTCACATCTCGCACATGTAGCATAAAAACTTAATTTAATTAATAAACAGTTTTCTAAATATACACAAAGTAAACACGGTAATAAAATTAAAAGTTAACAATAGTTCCTAGTCAATAAAATCACAACAGCAAGGAATATAAAATGCCACAGAAACTTGAATTTTAAATCGTCCTCAACAGAGGTCAAAATTTTATCCGGCTTAGGTTGTACGGACGGTCTCTGTGGCAGCTCTTCATCAATAATTCAGTGAATACTCTCAGCGTTTAGTCCTTTGGGAACGGTCCCTAATTAACTTAACTCAGCCGTTGCTGCGACATTACAAATGCAAAGCCATTGTCAGGGTTCAAAACAATCAGTGTACCGATGTCGACGAGTTAACGCACCAACCTGCGGCTAGTTCTAATTGCTTCATAAATAACATAAAACCACAATTAACCAACTTGGCAGCAAAACACCTAGATGTGGTGGTAGAAATATAATTGATATTAATTTAAATTTCTCTAACACTTCCAATGTATGATGCACTTTGAAACAAATGTATTTATCCAAAAGTACACTGATACAATAATAACATTTTCAATACCCTGGCCTTTTGCGGTCGTAAGACTGGTAGGTAGAGTGATTAGATTGAACTAAGTCCTATAAAAGTGCCTAATAATAATTGCACGTAAAAATTTTGAACTGAGTGTATGTGAAATTTTAAAGAAAGTTAATAACCATTAAAAATCTATAAGCAAAAAGTAGAATAATTTAGTTTCTTAGGTTTTCATGCACATCACTCATTAAAATAAAACTAGTTTTAAGTGGTAGTTTCTTAGTTCTACGTGACAAATTTGGTCTCATTCTTGGTAGATCAGAATCACACAATCGTTTTTGAAAATTCTACTTTTTAAAATAAAACTAGTTTTAACGGGTTAATGCATTTTATTTTTATTTATAAAAATAAAAAAACATTATTCTGACGACGCAGACCTGAAAAGGCTGCGAAATCAATAAATAAATAAAGTTCGTGCAATAACCCGTTAAAACTAGTTTTATTTTAAAAAGTAGAATTTTCAAACTTTCGAAGTTTACAGCGGTGAAACAAGTGAAAACCTTTATTTCTTTTAATAATTCTTATCATTATTTCCATACATTATTTGGTACAATTCCATATGGGCACAAATATAGGTTAACATATATTTTTTATTATTGTTTTAACTTTTATTCTTAATTAAGAATAAAAGTAGGACCATAATTATGGTCAGGTTTTCAATATATTGAATTGACGTGGTTTACATACTAAATTACGTACAATATACATGAATATTTTATCACATAATTACGACATCATTATTTTGACGGAGACGTGGTTGCATGAAGAAATACATAAAAATCAACTGGTAGATGAGCATTATGAGGTATTTAGGAGTGATAGGCATCGTGTAACAAGTCAAGTGTAGTTTCTGAATTCTTTCACGCAGCTACGTTTTAATTTGGGCCTGAGGTATGGGCAGAAGAGGTTCTGGACTATACACTTTTGTGTCTGCTCCTCTCTTAGCCAGTTCGTCTGCTGCGTCGTTTCCGATTGAGTTGCTGTGTCCTTTTATCCATTGCAGAATTACCGTGTTGGTTACCGCAATGGATTGAAGTGCATTGTGACACTCCATTACCAGGACAGTGTTTATTGTGTTGCTACGTAGGGCTTGAAGCACGGATGCACTGTCAGAGATGATCTTAATGTTGAACTCTCTGATGTCTCTGGCTGCAACCGCCTGTGCTGCTCTGGTAATGCTAATACATTCCGCCTAGAAGATTGTGCTTAGTTTGTCTAAGGTTGTGGATATTTTTATATTGAGGTCGTTCGAGAAGACACCGGCTCCAGTACCAATGTTGGTTTTGGAGCCATCTGTGTATATCCTAACTTCCCCGGCGCCAGAGTAGTCTATCTTTTCCGCGGTAAGTTGGATGTTGTATCTTCGATCAAAGACGTGTTGACCCAATATTCTATCCATAGGTGCCTCCAGGAGTGGAATCTCCTTCATGCACTTTTGTAGAATATTGGAGTGTATTATTACAGTGTTTGATCTCCATAGGCCCAAAGATCTTAGTCTCAAGGCTGCTGCTTTCGCCTCTTCTTGTATGACCAGGTCTAGAGGTCTTAAGTTCAAGAGGTACTCTAATGCAGCAGATGGAGTTGTTCTCATGCATCCAGTTGCTGCTGCGCACGCCAAGCGCTGCAGACTTTGGAGTTTAGATTTCACTGTGGTCAGTTGGGTCCTGGGCCACCAAACAACTGAACCGTAGGTTATTGTTGGCCTGATAACTGCTGTGTATAGCCAAAGAGTGATCTTTGGACTAAGACCCCATTTTTTACCAACTAATCTTCTACACTGGTTAAAAGCTATGCAGGCCTTCTTTGTTTTTAATTCAATATGGCTCGCCCAGTTCAATTTGTTATCAAGGATTACGCCCAGATATTTCACTTGTGTTGATAGGGAGAGTTTGGTATTAAACAGTTTTGGTAACTGTAGTTTGGGTAGCTTCCTTTTGTTGGTGAAAAGAACAAGCTCTGTTTTATTCGGATTTACTGACAAATCATGTTCGTCACACCATTTTTCCACAATCTGAAGGGCAGAACACATAACTTTACACAGGACGTTTCCAGCGTTCCCATTTATCAGAATTGTTAGGTCATCCACATAACCAATAGTAGTGTATCCTCTATCATTCAGACTCCTTAGGAGGCTGTCTACTACTATGTTCCAGAGAAGTGGTGATAGGACTCCCCCTTGAGGACATCCTCTTACTACCTTCGCACGCGTGGTAGTGTTCCCCACTATCTGAACCACCCTTTTGCCGACCAGTTCGATTATCCAACTCCTGGTAACTTGGTCCACCTTGAGTTTTCTTAGGGCGTGGTTAATGCTGTTGTGCATCGTTTTGTCAAAAGCACCTTCTATGTCTATGAAAGCTGCCAATGTTGACATTTTGTTTCTGATTGCCGACTCTATTTTATGGACCACCGCATGCAGTGCCGACTCTGTTGATCTGCCTTTTCTATAGGCGTGTTGTTGAGGGTGCAGCGGGACCTTACTAAGTGCTCCATCCCTAAGGTGTCGGTCTATCAGGCTTTCCAATGTTTTCAAAAGGAAAGAGGTTAGACTAATTGGTCTGAAGGATTTGGCTTGTGTGTAATCGTCTTTG